TCAAAGATTATTCTTCTATTTTCTGCACTTCAGACAAATGTATATATAAATCTATTAGTAAATTTCGTAAAACTTTTGAGGGTGTTTTTTCTGGATATCTTGCTTCAAAATCAAAACTATTCCTTGATAATTATGTATCGTACATGATATGTGTATCTTTATCACTACTTAATTTGCACTAAATATTATTTTTGTTTCTTCTAGAAAGTTAAAATATTTTTTTCAATTATCCAATTTTTCAATAATAATACTCTTTCTAAATTATATATGTATTTACTTTAAAACTCTTGTGTTTAAATACTAATTTCCAACATTAGTCGTACAAAGCCGTGGAGAAGACTGAAAGTTTTTGTAAAACTTATGATTATGACAAGCTGGATGTTGCGAGCTTATCAGCAATTATAAACACTCGCTTAAAACTAGAGAATGAGCGCGAGATTTGAGCCACAATTGAGAAAAGCAGCCTCTTTTCTACATATACACAGTTTTATAATGACACAATTTTTTGAAACGACTTTTAAAAGAGTATACCATAGACCAAACGAGTTATTAAGGTGATCCTCTTGAAAGTGATTTATTTATTGCGATTTTTCCTCATATCAAGGAGCTGCTCCGCAAKCATGAAGAAGTGGGCAGGAGAGGTATTGGCAACAACTCCAACTCATACGTCATGCCAAGTTGCCTCCCAAGACACAAACTCAGGCTTTTTGTCGCTTTCTACACTGGCCATTGTAAGCKCAAAAGCATTTATACTTATAACTATTAGCCTAGCTTCTCGTGCAAATCACCGGTTCTGTGACAATTAGCCTGAATTTTCAGAAGGGTTGCTAATTGAATGTACAATAGTCTATAGGCGCAGGTTAAAGGCCCTTGAATCCATATTTCCAAATAACAATCATATCGCTTCAATAGCACCCTACAGGATATTGGAATTTTTCAATATGCTGGTGCTAAGTGAGTCGTTGTGACTTAGGAAAGAAAGGGCACAATAGACCTTAGGTTGCGGTGTAATCCTAATTTATTTATCTAATCTAAAGCCTGAGGCCAGCAGGGTAAATCGTCAGAAGTTGAGCGAACTCTTTGTCCCCAGTAACTATAGAAGTTCTAACTATACGACCGAGACTCATGCGGCAAGAGTGAAAAATTCATACCTCAAATCTCATACTTTTTAACGTACGATGGAAATAGAAATAAAGAACCTACTTGTATTAGAATTTGTGTTAGTTTTAAGGCCCTTGTCGAGACAATATTGAACTACAATAGTTTTTTTATCTGACTTCACGAAAGACTGCCCCGCGCGGGTATGTTTAATCAGTCCTCTAATCTTGCCTTACCTTATCTAGTTTATTTTTAAATTCAGTGGACAACTAACGGGTTTTTTAAAGTGACAGATATTCTCAACGCTTCAAAACGAAGTGTGAGATACTGATTTGGGTCTCCCTCAATTGCTGCGCCAGCGGCAGYCATATTCTCGACACTACCGGCACTTCTTTGTCTCACTGGCACGGAAACAGTTTGTACTGTGTACTTTTTTTTCACTAGACGCTCAATTGTTGATGTGACAGAACGATTATGACGACCATAAATCCGAATTTCGGCAGTAAATTTTAATAATTTCGACTAGTTGTTGGATCGTATAGCTTTCCATGATGAAATGGCAAACTCTACTGACTTTACTCAAAAGAGCGTTTGCTCTCCTTTTCGATCTATTTGTGCCTATTTTGTCTATATAAAATGCATGGATGAATAAAAAATGGTMTCAGAGCCGTGTTAACTCGGCACCAAGAAGTAAGGATAAAGTCCTCAGATTTCTGTAGTGACAAAACGAGTTTATTGTTCCTGTATTTCCGGGCTCTGTTGTAATATTAAGTTGTCAAAAAAGTCTTGCGGTATTTTTTTATTGAATTTTCAATAGTTCATAAAATTTTTTTTTGATGACTCATGCCCAGCTCTTGACCGATGCTCCGGCTGCTACTATGCCGGTCTCTTTCGACCAAATCAGCGATTTTATCGCAATTTTCGAGGACAGGCCTCCCGGAGCGTGGCGCATCTTCAACCACCTCTACACCAGAACGAAAACGTTGAAACCATCGTTGTGCGGTGGAAATGGAAACTGTATCGGGTCCATAAACTGCTCAAATTTTATTGGCGGCTTGAGATGCATTTTTGCCTTTATCGTAGTAGTAGTGTAAAATATGCCGTATTTTCTCTTTATTTTGGTCCATGTTTGCGACGCTATAACTCACTAAGGACTTAAAAGGAACGACAATCAATCAAACACGTGTCAGCGCGTGAAATGAGCTTTCCAAAAAGGTATAGGCTGCCCGATGCAACGAGTAAAACTAGAACTACGCGCTCTCAGCGCCAACTAGCGAAAATACCGCAATACTTTTTTGACAACCTAATATTCCTAACTATGCTTAAATTGACTGAAATGTTATGCAAAGTGATATGAAGATGATGGATAGTGTAAAATAAAAAATAAAAAAGTATATCTTTTTTAATTTTTCGTTAGCTATAACTTCAAAAATACTATTTTAGTCCATAATTTTAGGCTGTCACGGTAGGTGGACCATTTATTTTTGAATTTAGCATTTCAATACAAGTTGTGATTACTATTCCACTCAATTTCATTATCCCAACTGATTTTCATTTATCGTTTTCTTTGCTCTCATATCTCCAAGATTTCAATAATCCTTAGTTTGAGTTAGGCAATCTCATTAGAATCTATTTCCTATTACCATATGTTGTTAAAAAAAACTACAAGTTGCTTAATTCGAAATTTGTGAAAACTTGGCGCTTTTATATTAAACTACTTGACTATCGACTTAATGTTTTTTAATGTTAAACAGCAGCTTCATCAACACTTGCCTCAATCTATGTGACTTTGGTTGACAACACGTTTATAAGAATCTATTCACAGATTTTATTGTTGCAACCGGCTTATGTGAAAGTAAAACAAAAATTTTCCAAAGAATAAAAACACTTTTAAACAGTATGTTGCCATATACAATAGTGTGTGTGTGTGTATGTGTGGGTGGGTGGCTGGTTGGCTGGTTGATGATGTTGACGAGCAGCTCTGCTGTGTGTGTGTTGTCGCTGCTTGAGATTCTGTGCAGATTACAGTTGGAACGTGCTGACACGTGCCACGCATTCACGCCTACCGTGTGCCCCTCCCCCTCCTTCTCACACGCTCAATAAAACACATTGGTGGCGTTTGGTGGTAGTGTGGTGCCAAGCTTGCATTCTGCGGCAAAAAGAATATAAATAGTGAAAATGTGTGATAGATGAGGTAGATAAGTGAGCGTGTATATGAGCATGTGTGTGTTTGTGTGAAAAGTGCGAAGCATGAAAAAGCGTTTAGCAAATGACATTTCTGTGCACTCACTATCGATGGGCATCCAGCCGACACGCAGGTTCTTGCTAACATTGTCTTCGCTGATCCACGTGTTCAATGGTTCATAGTACTCCAGAAAGGCTGTGGCCGTCATATTTGTTAATTTTATACTGGTCAGCGGTTTGATGATTTCGCGCCAGGGCTTTGACGAACCGGCGCTCATCATATCGCTGAAAGAAAAATTTAACGGTAAATATGTATGTATGTATGTGGGTATTTTTTTTTTGATCAAATTAGGTATGAGTTATATATAACAAATCTTAAACAATTTTAAAATAAATTTCGATCTTTTCGAAGTCTGACATATATTATATTTAGCTGTATGTCTCTTGTCCAGCTCAGAAGTTCCCGAAGCAAGCGCTTAAGTGTTAGTTTAAGTAACACTAACTGGACCTACAGGTCCTTTCTAATGCCAGCTGGARGTTCATTATTAATACCGAACTGAAGTTCACAGCTGGCAGGACGTCAACGCTTTTTGCGAGATCTTGATATGTAACTCTTATACTTCATGCAGGGTTTCTACGTGTATCGTTTTTAATAACATCCAGACGATACGCAGGTGATCCTAGTAAGTTGTGACCTGCGACTATTCCAACAACCATTACGTAGTCTTTTCGAGACTGTGTAAGTAGAAAGTTTTTGTGCTTTGCTTCCCTGGGGATCCTGCAGGTCCCTTAGTATTCCACTGTCAACCATTTTAAAAATTTCATTGCATTTGAACACTTTTGGCAAGCTCAGCATCTTTCTCGTTTCCTGGAACGCCCTCCAGGCCTAAAATCGCAGCTTTCGGTTGCCACAATATCAACTAAAGCCCTGCTTCTAAGGACATTCTCCGACACAATACGACGTGATATTATTGCAATAATTGCCGCCTGGCTATCAACATATATAATACGTTGAAATTATTTGAGCCGATTTCTGACTTATTATCTATCTCAGTAGCCTTCCCGCCGCAAATAATTATTCCTGAAAGATCCCGGCATGTTGAATGTGCATTTACAGTGTATGGACCCTTCGTATAGGCATGCTGAGCCTTCGACTGGTTCCATCGAATCTTTTCCCTAATGTAAGCATCTATAATTATTTTGAATGTCTTTAGAAGGTATGAGGTAAGACTTTTTGGTCTACATTCTTTCGTTTAAAGGGGACGCCCTTACCCTCCTTCGCCTCTCTCTAAAGCAGTAAGCCTTAAACATTTTTCATACGTATGATACCATTACAGTTGATGCCATCATTTTACTTACTACAGAAGTTTGCCCGCATGTTTGTCGCCATGAAAATCGCAATTGTCCAATGGTTTGTAAGCATTGCGCCGTTCGAATTCGCCAATGTTCAGACAGATAGCGCGATAGATTTGATAGCCCAAGAACTCATCGAATAGTTTCCTGCACAAATAGAAATAAAATATAATGTTAATTCAAACTAATTTGTGATATTTCCATACTTTGTGCTCCGAAACTGATCAACAATGCCCTCATAGAACTTATAGGGCATATCATAAACACCGGCATCGGTCTGTAGTGGTGGCTCCACGCCCATATATTTCTGCATCAAATTCCAGTAATGACAATTATAATGCTCCGGCTGCACTCTGCCATCGATCATGTCGACCCAGAGCTTTTCRTGCACAAAGTAGGTGGGCAAAGTGAGCATAGTGTGAGTGGCCTAAAATAGAAGAGAGTAGAGCGTAAGAAAAGTTATAGAAGCGAGCAGAGAGTAAAAATTAGTGAGAAAGAAATGGTTTAATTTAAGCATAAATGTTGTTTACATTTTTTTTCTATTTTTATAACTATTCAAAAGTGTTCCTTATCACATTTCGTACGCAAAAATATGCGAGTTCTTATCGCTACTCACCAAACGGTATAGACGGTTCAAGTTTAAGAGGTCGTCATAATCGTAATTCTTTAAAATACCTAACCGTTGCTGCAAATGCTTCGGTGTGGACACAGATAAAATGACTGCCTCGCCCATAGCYGCCCCAAATCCGGGACATGCTTCCTGATTGAGTCCAACGCGGAAATTATTCTTCTCGATCGCATATTGYACGGCCGCWATGTCGCCGTGTGTCTGCAGCAGTTTCTTGTAGTAGACTTTGGGACAGAAGTGCAACTCTATTTCGCCAAAATCGAAGATGCGCGACTTGCAATCGGGTCCACCGGTACCGGCGTCCATTTCAATGAAGTGTTCGTTCATGAACTCGCTAATCGGAGATGTATTGAAAAGATATAATTAAACAATTAAGTAGAAAATGTTTGAATTTCTGGAACCTACTCTGTGAGATTCCTGAAGCCAAGCGAACCGAAAAATTGCACACTAATATTAACCAAATCGAAGGGTTTCAAACCCGCGTCATCCAATTCGGTCTGCATGTTGGGTAACTTCCGTTGYACGAAGGGGTTCTGCAGCACTGTTTCCTTCTTCCATGCCTGATATGTTACTTGCTCCATGAGATGGTGCGGTATGAGACCCGTCGGTGGTATGACGTCATCGCCATATTTGTGCCGCAAAACGTTACGTAAATGTGCGTGGATTTCGCGATAGAAGGGTCGCAATGAATCCATCAAACTTTCCAGCTCATAGATCAGATGAGGATCTTCATACTGATCATACCAGAAGGCCGAGGGCTTTACATCTGGTGTGCTCATATTTCGATAATACGCTATGTAGTAGTGCAGTGCCTCCTTCACTTCAGCGGGCATTTTGTTGCGCCATTCCTTCCAGTAATATTTGATCTCATCTAAATCATCGCTATTCGTGAATATCGTTTTGATTTGATGTACGAAGGCCATATTGCATTTGCTTGGCTCCTTCATGTTGCACACCCACTTCTTTCGTGACATATTCTTCAGCGTGCTGGTGGCACGTTTGAATTTATAATTGATTGGCGGATATTTAGCGCCGCGCAAGATCACCTCGAATTGCCGCTTCAGCAGTGGATCTACAAAATTCTGCCAATCAAATTTCTGCATTGTGCCATAGAAGGGTCGCAACTTTTCGCGCATCAAAATTTCGGGACTGAGTGTGTCGTCAGCGAATTGCCGATATGCCGTAGCGCTGGCCCAATAGACATCGTTCATTTGTGTGAGCAGAAACTGCGCAGCTTCTTCGTTGAAAAATTCGGGCTCATGTGGGTTGCTSTGATTATATTGTGCATCTGCGCGGCTGATACATGCAGCTAGCTGTTGAGGAAATTTATTTTAATTAATATTTTGTTCCTGGGTCTGACTCAAATCTTCCTACCATAACCCGAAGTCTTTCATACTCGAGATTTCTTTGTAAAATATCGATCAAAAGTTTGCTCAAAAACCAAATATTTTTTTAACTGATATGCTATCAAGGTTCTTAGATGTATGAGTAAATTTATATATGAGTTGAGCATTCTTTTGCCATCGTTTATAAAAATCAAGACTTTATGTTTCAATACAATATTCTGCAGTATTTTGAATTATCAGAAGCAAAGTACGATAGATCCCAACCAAAATTGTTATCACAAAAAGGTAGAGTTGCTGGGTATCACTTTCAATATCCGTACAATTCATCATACTTTGGAATAACTACTTTTGCATATTTATTGTTTTGAAAACTTTTCTGGGTGTCATATAGCCAATCTTACTTAAGGTGGGAGCCTGCTTTAGTGAAWTCAAAGAATCTATTTTTTTGAGAATTATTTTTGGGAGGAAAAAAAATAAGTGATTAAAGCGAAATATCTACGKTTTATAGTTATATATTTAAACATCATTCACAAATTTTTTGGATACGAAATCTTTGACTTATTCTATCTTTGGGAAGCAATTAACCGATGCATTTCGCATGTGCATTTGTCGGACGGCAGGCAGAACGCACTTCGCAATTTCTATCGAAAACAGAAAATTCAAAGAGATTCAAATTTTTTAATAATTTAGTTTTTTTCTATCTTGTCCGCCAATTAAGAACAATCGTTAAAATGGAAAACCGAGAAATCGCGCGTTAAAGTTTTCGCTTTCTG